GTATATGAGTAAAGTAACGTGTTATTGGAAAAGTTAAAATGTGAACAACCAAGATAAAACAAAACATTTTTTATGATTTGTAATTATAAACTTTTTTATATATTTATATTATAACTATTTATTTTATTTTTATTTATTTTACATTTGTGAATATATAAGAGAAATAATGTTAAAAATAAAACTGGTGGGATTTGTAGACATTTTATTTTCTTACAATACTACTTTTTCAGTTAGCCTTAAAGCTCACACAAATTTCAAGTCTTGTTTCTCAACACATTGTAAGTAAAGTTTTTATTTATAAAACCTCTTTCACAGAAATATGTATACATACTGTCTACAGCTGTCTTCAATGTTCTGGTCAGTGGTGGTTCCATTGTAAATAGTTGTGTCTATGGAGAAAAACGAAATTAGTAAGAACATCATGGCGACATTTTCAAAGGACTAGAAATATATAATTTCTATGAATGAAGCTTAAAATTAAGAACTGAAAGTCAGCTAGCAGCACATCATTCCTTCATTACTACTTAAACTCAAACTCCATGTAGCCTTCATAACAAGAGCAACATTTGATCATGACCCTAGGAAAAATATTTTAGGTTCTGGTAAAGCAGAATTCCGCAATGTTATGTATGAGACTCTTATTTTGAAATGCCCGGTTTCTGAAACAGGAAGTGTTAGCACGGGATAGCGATTTAACGGTTTTATTACATGGTTGTATGGGGAAACTTAAATAATTATCTTCCATAGGGAGGTGTAATAACAGCAAACACAACACGGTCTTTTTTTATATAAGTTTATATAACCTTCACTCATTTAGATCTATACCTTGTCATAAACCCCAGTACTAGCGGTAAATGCTATTAAATGCTACATGTAGAAGAAAGGAAAGGGACAGCCCAATCAAAATGGCTTGAGGGCGGAGTCAGATGTCCGACCCTGCCCAATCTCCAAGCCCGCCCCGTTCCGTGGTCCGCAGCTACAGATTACTCCTTTTTTCCTGTCTTCCCGGTCTACCAAAGGCCCGGCCCACCTCGACCGGGTAGACTAGGTCCTTAGGAGGACCCGGACTGTCGTTTTGGACACAGCCACTAAGTTTCATGTTTCCAAAAGAAAAACTGTGTCCAGTTTCAGGTGTCGGGTTTTAGGTGTCAGGTTTCAGGTATCAGGTTTCAGGTGTTGGGTTTCAGGTTTTTAGGTGTCGAGTTTCAGACTTTAGGTTTCAGGTTTTAGATGTCTGGTTTTATATTGTAGGTAACGAGTTTCAGGTTTTAGGGATATGGTTTTGGGAGTCAGGGTTTTACTGGACTTGCTGTAACTGATGTTCTCCCCGATTGTTAGCTCCGCCCACCAGCCTCTCCCTATCAGCAGCAGTGGGGGGTGGGGCTAAGAAGCGTCTGGTGGCGCCGTCTCTCAGCCTCACTCTGAGCCACCCCGATTCTCAGGACATGAACAACGACAGCTTCTCAGCAGCTGCACTGTCAGGAACGCCGGAAGAGACGCCGTCACTTGACCTCAACCTGGAGGCTCTGGACACGCCATCAGACAGTGAGACAGGGACGCTGCCCGATGGTCTACACGACCTGGAGTGGGAAGGTAGGACAAGTGAAGGCTGAGTCAACAAAGGTGTCCTTCAGTTGAACTTGAACTTTGACCTTTCTTTGACAGATGATCTGCCCCAGATGGGTAAGACTGAAACCAGTAGTGCTGCAGAGCACTCTGAGGGTCTGATGGAGCTAGATCAGGTGGACAGCAAAGGGCGACGCTGGAGGAAGTTCTGCATCTCTGGGCAGGAATACAGAGTCAATATGAGCGTCCTGGAACCGTACCTGCAGGTGTTATCACATGGAGGTTAGCTGTCATTCACTTACCTGAAATACACTTCAGGCTCATCTGCAATTAACCTGAAATACACCTGCAACACACCTGTTACACACTGGTTACACACCTGCAACACACCTCTTACACACTGGTTACACACCTGCAACACACCTGTTACACACTGGTTACACACCTGCAACACACCTGTTACACACCTGCAACACACCTCTTACACACTGGTTACACACCTGCAACACACCTCTTACACACTGGTTACACACCTGGTTACACACCTGCAACACACCTGCAACACACCTGTTACACACTGGTTACACACCTGCAACACACCTCTTACACACTGGTTACACACCTGCAACACACCTGTTACACACTGGTTACACACCTGCAACACACCTGCAACACACCTGTTACACACTGGTTACACACCTGCAACACACCTCTTACACACTGGTTACACACCTGCAACACACCTGTTACACACTGGTTACACACCTGCAACACACCTGCAACACACCTGTTACACACTGGTTACACACCTGCAACACACCTCTTACACACTGGTTACACACCTGCAACACACCTCTTACACACCTGCAACACACCTGTAACACACCTGAAACACACCTGTTACACACCTCTTACACACTGGTTACACACCTGCAACACACCTCTTACACACCTGCAACACACCTCTTACACACCTGCAACACACCTGTAACACACCTGAAACACACCTGTTACACACCTGAAATACACCTGTTACACATCTGAAATACACCTGTTTCACATCTGTTACACACCTACATCATACTTGTTTCACAACTTTACACTCTCTGAAACTTACCTGCTGGGGGTCAGACCTCAGGTGCGCTGCCCACCTGTCTGTAAATCCTCTGTGTGATCGGCTTTCAGGTTACTATGGAGATGGGATGAATGCCATCATCTTGTTCACTTCCTGTTACCTGCCAGAGAACACAGTTGAGAACTATGAGTACGTCATGGAAAACCTATTCAGGTGAGTTTGGATCTGGAGCATGAAGGTGAGTCACCTGTGAGATGCTGAACTTGTTTCAGGAAGTGAGGTCAGTCAGGTCTAGAAAACACCTTGATTCAGGTGTTTGACTGTGTTTGTCTCTGTCTTCAGGTACATTGTTGGGACATTGGACCTGATGGTTTCTGAGAACTATGTTCTGGTTTATCTGTGTGCCATGGCCCCCAGGAACAAACTGCCCCCCATCAAATGGCTGCGTCAGTGCTACACCTCCATAGACAGGAGGTAGGGTGGTCCTCTCAGGTGTCCCTCGTTAAACGTCCAGGTCCAGCTGTTGTAGACTCTGACTATGTCCTGTTTACAAGGCAGCAGAGATGGACTCTGTCTTCTGTTGTTCCAGGTTGAAGAAAGACCTGAAGGGGCTGCTGGTGGTCCATCCTGCCTGGTACATCAAAGCTGTGATCACAATAGTCAAACCCTTCATCAGGTCTGCCATGTTTACACTGGTAACCATGGCAACAGTGCTGCTGCCATGCTGCCAACAAGAGTGTGACCTTTGACCTTGTCTGACCTGTCCTCCACAGTGACAAGTTCAGCAGGAAGATTCGTTTTGTTCAGAGTCTTCAGCACCTGGCTGAGATAGTCCCCACAGAACGACTGCAGATCCCCCAAACAATAAGCCAGTAAGAGCTCCAAACAATCCTTCACTGGTTCTACTGGTTCTGCTGGTTCTACTGTCAGCAAAACCTTCACTGGTTCTACTGGTTCTACTGTCAATGTCAACAAAACCTTC